TGCTTCGCGGCTACGGTGCAGCCGCAGATCTATCATAATATATGAGTTACTTAAATGGTTAGTGTGTTCTTAATGAAATCCAAAGTTTTGGGTTCAAGTGTACACGGTCCGGATTGGTTCGGTTCTGAGAAAATCCAAGAACCGAACCGATCCTAACGGTTCTGTGATTTTGAGAACCAGACCAGACCGTTACACTTGTAAAACCGGACCAGAACCAAACCGAAAAAACGGTTCGGTTTCGGTTTGGTTTACGGTTCCAAAAATTTCTATTTACAAGAATAAATTGTTAATATTAGCAAAATAATTACTCAAACTAATTACATTTAACTCATTATAAAAACTAATAATATTAAGGCATTACTTAATATTACATATATATACCATCATAATATCATTAAAATTATAAAAAACCAATTAATAAAAATAAAACTTGATATTATATATATATATATATATATATCTTTTAAAATTCAGTTCGGTTCGGTTCGAACCGCGATTTTTTCATAAAATCCATTAACCGAACCGTTTTTACGGTTCTCATATTTCTTAATCCGAAATCGAACCAATTTTTAATAGAATTGAACCAAACCGTATGATTCGGTCTGGTTCAGTCTGGATTACCGATTTGAACAAATTTTTGAACAGCTCTAGTACCGTGGACAGGGAAAAAAAAAATTACGTGTATAAAATTACTAAATTGGACGGTAATGTTGGGCCCGTAGGGACCCACCACAGGTCCCGTTTTGATAATTCGAACCGTTCAATGTATAGAACTCGTCCAGAACTATATGCTTGTAAACAATCATGTTAATCAGATATCACCAACTACATGATCAAATCAGTTTTGTATAAAAATGATGGTGTTATAGTTAACAGTTGACAAAAAAACTAATACGATCAGATAACTATTGATATCCAATCAACGTGATTTTTTGTAAACATATAGTACACAATGAGTTCTACACAATGAACGGTTCCGATTTGCAAAACGGGATCTGTGGTGGCTTCCACGGGCCAAATAACACTGTCCAATTCAAGCCCGAAAATGAGACAATCATTTCCCATCTCATAACCAACCCACTAGCCTGCCAACCTGTACGGCCTAATCCACTATTTTCTCCTACACACTTATTTATATAATTTTTTAATTCATATTTTTTCGTAAAAAGTCAAAAAGTTAACCCAAACATCCATCTTTTTTTCCTCAACTTTTTAGTCTAAAAAGACAAAAAGTGCACTTATTTAGGACATCCCAAATAACTCCTAATAGTTTACGTTTTTATAATTTATGAGCCAAAGTGATACTTCTTAATAGTTTAGAAAGGCTATTTGTATTCTTTTAAGGGTTAAAATAATACTTTTCAATATTGTAAGGGATCTACGTAAATAATCCATTTTATTTAAATTAAAATAACAATAATAATAATCAGATTGTTTAGTTTCAATTTTTAGAAAACAGTTTTCAGAAAATTTTAATTTTTTATTTTTCGTATTTTAATGTTTTCAATGAATTTTTTTAATATTTTAAACAATTTTTAAATTTTTTAGACATAACTAACATAAATACACTTAAAAAATATAATATTTGTAAAAAAAAATTTACTAAATACCAAAAAAAATAAAAACAAAAATTTAATACATTTATCGTATTTTTGTATATTTATTAATTTTTAAAAATATTCTTATATTTAAATACATCTAAATAAAGTGTATCTTAAAAAATTATTTAAAATTTTAAAAATATTTACTAAAAATAAAAATTATTTTTTTAAATTAAATTCAAAAAATTAAAAACCAACCCACTGATTGAAATTTGAATCGCCTCTCCAGCACCACTCACTCTCAAGTGTGTTGGTGATTGATTCAACACACTTTCTCCAGAGTCGACAAGTCTCAGGCATACAATTCACATTCGGGTGATACACAAAGCGAACTTCAATCATGGCTAACAACACCACACCCCTCGCCTTCCTCCTCTCCACCATCTTCCTCCTACTCCTTTCCGGCGTCTCCTCCGGCCGACTCATCTCCGACGGCGTCCACGACGGCTCTCTTGCTCCGCCGCTCCTACTCCGCCTAAACAACCCCTTCCGATCATCCGACACCTGCGACCAGACCTATGACTTCTTGCCCTGTACCACCACCGTATTAGGCAACCTCTTCCTCATCATCGTCTACGGCTATCTCATGTTCTTCGCCGCCATGAATCTCTCCAATGGCAGCGAGCTCTTGCTTGCGATCCTGGGCCCTGGTATCGTCGGCGGCCTCTTACTTCCCATTCTCGGCGCTCTTCCTGATGCCATGCTCATTCTCGGTATATGATTTTTCATTTCGATCTCGATTTTGATCTCGATTTACTTTACTTTACTTTACTTTACTTGCTTCTGTTTGGCTGCCTGGAAAAAGATCTAAAAAGGAATGGAAGATTCGAAGAATTTACGTCCCATTTTTGCTAGTAATTCATTTTTTTATTATTTCATTTAATTGACGGCGTAAATGAGTATGAGGTTGTTAGTTTCCTTTCATTTAAGCTTGATCAGATAGAACACTCCAATCCAATCCTTAATTTTTTTTGAAATTTTTTTTTCCACAATCTTTTTAAAAAAAATTCCAACTTATTCGAAACATTGTATTAACCATTTTTGATAAAAGAAAACGATAAGTTGAGTGAAAATATGATTGTTGAAAATTTGGTGAAGTGAAGGATTTGGTTTTTGTTTTTCTTGATTCACTCTCTAATTTACTTCTATCTTTGGGGGAAAAAAAAGATTGGAGTTCACTCTTTTAGCTATTTATTCATCAAATTTGAATTTCCTGAAAGAATTGGTGAAGCATTTGAGATGCTCTGATGCTGTGTTTGGTTGGAGATTTAGGAAGGGATTTGAAAAGGAAAAGAGAAAGGATCTGGCTTCCCTCCCGTCCAATATCAGATTGGAAGGTACTGTTGGGCCCTTGGGGGTACACCACGGGTCCTGTTTCGATAATCTGAACCGTTGAATGTGTAGAACTTGTCGAGTATTATATGCCTGTAAAAAAATCATATTTATCAGATATCGATAACTATGTGATTAAATCAGTTTTGTATAAAAAAAAATAGACGAAGAAAAAGTAAACAGTTGACGGAAATCTGTTCCGATGAAATAGCTATCGATATCTTATCAACGTGATTTTTTACAGGCATATAGTACTCAGTGTGTTCTACACATTGACCGGTTCGGATTATCAAAATGGGGACCCGTGGTGGCCCCCACGGGCCCAATAGTATCCTCCAGAGGGAAGCCATTTCCAAATAGAAAAAGTGTGTGAAATTATGTGAAATGTAGGTATATTTTATTCACATTAAACCTACTTTTTTTCTTTCTTTTTCCCTTTCCATTTTCAAATCCTTTCCCAAATCCCTAATCAAACGCAGCGTAAGAGACTATAAATTGGTAAATTTAAAATTTCATCTTTAGTAGTTTTCTCATAAATCAAAGATATCATTTGTTCTTTTGCTTTTATGTTCCATTTTGCTGGTGAAAGATCCTGTTCTGAGATGTTAAGCTTGGAATGGTGGGTGGGGTTGAATTGAACTTGATTAGAGTATTTTTACCACCAGCTGTTAACTTGAGTGAAACTAATTTGCTTATGATGGATGAGAGGAAGCTAAGCATTAGAATGTAAGAGATGGTTTCAATTAGGCAAGAAAGATGGTTCTCGTGAAATTTAAATTAGTTATGTGGCAGGGGAAAACTTTTGAAGGGCAAATGCCGGTGTGGAGGATATAGTTTAGGGTGGAGGAGAGTAGATGATGATTATGTTAGATACACAGCTGGTACCATTTTTTTTACAAAATTCTTTAATGTATTTTTATATTGAGCCTTATTTTATCCTATGGTATAAACCAGAAGATGGGGTTGTCAAGCATGAATGTATGATTGTGTATTCTGTTTCCCTTGGTATGCTAGAGGAGTAATTGATATTAATCTAAGAGTATCCAAAGAGGAACCCTTCTAGAGTATGAAGTTTGTGTGTGTTTCATGAATGGTTTATCAATGTCTAGCATGTCTTCAACATAAGAATAATGAAGAAAGAAGTGTCTATTGTGCATATACTCGTCATGTGTAGTCTTTCCTTGTGCTGATTGTTGTCTGGAGTGACCAGTTGATTATGCTACTCATTACTTAAATAGTTTCTTTCTTTCTTTCTCTTTTTCTTTTTTTTATTATTTGTTATTTATTATTTTTGTTTGTGTTGTTGTTGCTGTTGTTGTCTTTCTCAGTTTAAATTTTGTCCACTAAAATTTCATGTTTTTGATAAGGTCTGCTTGAATTTTTTTTTTTAAATTGATTTTGTAGAGCCAATATACATCATATGCATAATGATTGATCTCTGTATTGCTTCTATTGTAATCTTTTTTTTTTTTTTTTTTTTTTTTTTTACAGTATCTGGACTCTCTGGAACTACAGAAAACTGCTCAAAGTCAGGTCTCAGTTGGAATGGTTTACTTGCTGGGTCTACAGTCATGCTCCTTACAGTAATATGGGGAACTTGCGTAGTTGTTGGCAAGTGTGACCTCCAGGATTCAATTGCAAAAAGATTGAGAAGATACAAAGGGATTTAGCTTAACTGGTATGTTCCTGGGCTATCTATATCTTTTCCTAATGAACAAAAATTATGTAGTGCATGAAGCAAAACTATTATAAACTTGGTATTTTTGACACTGAAGTGATATTTCTTCTCTCTCTCTCTCTCTCTCTCTCTCTCTCTCTCTCTCTCTCTCTCTCGTGGCTTGAAAAACACTTGGTGATGTTGGCATATGCCTAACTGAAGTTTATGGCTCATTGATACACAAATTATGAATTTTTTGATGTCATGCTTGTAGTTTTTTTCTTCTTTATCCCGATTCTCATTCAGGTTTTATACTCCCACAAGGAAAGGGGTGATGGTTGGATGCATATTCATAGTCTTGATTTGTTTGTACCTTGATTTTAGTATTTGAAACGATGGTGGTCAGATACATGTTTAGACATCCTACAACCATTGATTTGTTCATTTTCTTGGACTGTTGCCATCTCAGAGAAGAAAATGTTTAGGCAAGTTTAAGAATTGTTTGATTAATGTTGTAGTGGATTACATAATCCCAAAATACCCTCCATTTTTGCAGAGATCTGTTGTGTAAGCACTGAATTTGGACTAGCTACGCTGCAATGATCATGGCTGTATCTGTAATCCCATTTCTTGTTGTCCAAATACCCCACTTATGAATTCGACTTCAGCAAAACGCTAGCAGTCTTGATGCACTTGTTGTCTCTTTCTCACTTCTTGATTTCATATTGTGGTTTATCAGGTAGATGTATTTTCTATTGGGCATTATCTGCCATATGCATTATGCTCAAATTTTTGTTCAATCCTATTTCTTTTGTCATTAGTTAATTGTAGCTATATATTTGATACAAAAGTTAGGTTACTTCTTGTTCAACTAAACTTTAAAAGTCTCAAAAATGTGCATATTGCAAGTATGGTGTAACCTAGCCAAGTTGATACTCTTTTCTATCCTATGATGACAAATCCTTGCCTTACAACCTTCACCTATAAATTGTCATTTTAAAAACTCTTTGTCTTTCTTCCCATGGAATTTTTCTACTACGTTGAAAAATTTAATCACAGGAAGTTCATCTAGTAATAATCTATTACCATGGGAAACCAAGTTGTTCCAGCTGCTAAAGCCTCAAATGTAATGGGACATCTTGCTATGAGAGAGACTTGAACTGCCAAGCCTTTTGATTTCATATTTCATGGACTTAGTTGATGTTCAAGTTTGTTTTGAGCTTAAATTATAATAAGGCAATATCCCATCCAGTTAGAGAGGTCCGGACTCGGACCATCAATCTGTTACTAATGGTAGAAAATGTCTTTACAACAACATGACAAAAGGGAAAGTGGAATTATCGCTTCATGTTTGATGCTTGATTCTTTTTCTGTAACGAAAAGGGAAATTCAATTATTGGGAAGAGTGGACAAGATAAAATAGACAGAAACTTCAATACTTAGCAATGCCACATCCTTTGGACAGGGCTGTATGAATACTCCTGACATCCTCCATCAGATAGATTCAAGACAACAGCTAAATTGCACATAAAGAGCCTCTCTGAACTTCTCATCTATGTTCCTTTTTGGCTTTTCTTTTGCCCATATGACACCTTTAGTTTGATCAAAGCACCCTTTCATTGTTTATTCACTTTCATTAGTCAAACATGACCCTATTTTAGACTTTCCATTTTTTCAAAGGTTTGAATACCAAATATAAGGCATAAATTCATTTGCAATGTGGTGTTGCTAAAACTTTCCATTTTTATCAAGAAACTGTAGATGTACTAAAAGCATCAGATTTGGCTTGTCCCTGTCCTTGATTGGAAGTCAAACCCTTGTTAAGCTGAGTCTTCGAAAGTATATATATACCATTTGGCTTTTTAATGTTCCTCCATTCTCTTCATGGAAATTTTGTTACCAATTGCCATATTATATGTTAGGAGTATAATATATTTAGTAGATAGTGAGCTCCCTTTCGGTGCCTTTCGGTGCTAGTGCTTCACTTTCCATCATGAGCTCAAACATGTATTGTCTTGTTAAACCTTCTCCTTATATAAAGGAGCTAACCCAACAACATTCAACACATCAATAGATACATTATTCTCTATGTATTTCTCTCTTTATACATTGAATTTAACATGGTATCAGAGCAAGGTTAAGAACCTAGTCATTCTGCTTCACCGGTGGGTGGCAGTCTCGCCTTGGCCGCCCGCCGGACCTCTACACATACCTTCACTCCGCTGCCACAAATTCTTCTTCTTGATCTTGATCTTCTTGTTGTTGCTGCTGCAGTAGTTTCTAACAAATTCCATGGCAGAACTTCACCTTCAAGATCAAAGCATCATCACCATCATCCATTTGAATACATGATCTTGCCAAATGTACCTTAACCTGTGGGACCCTAGCTTCCAGACCCACCTCTACCAAACACTCCAACGCAGAGGATTCCCTCCTCACACTCACAATCTCAGCACCAGAGAGGCTTGATGACAAGCCGGTGGAGCTAAGATCGTCACCTCCTCCGTCGCTCACAGCAAGTGTTGCCATAGCCGATCTACCAAGGTTCGAACACCCCGCAAAAGCCGACTAGGGTCGCCGCCATCATTAGCCCACGCAATCGCCGGCAATGACGATGCCTTGAGCGAGATCCTCCTTCGCACCCCCGTGAAGTCTCTGGTTTTGTTGCTGCATGTTGGCAATGACATTGAGGACTGAGTTGACATTGTCAGGCGCTGCTGCCATGGCTAGACATGTGATGCTTCTTGCTGTGCTGTGGATGTAGCGTCACGTTCATACCTGTGAACATAGCGTCACGTTCACCGTCGCGTTTACACCAACCAAACACCACCACCTCACTTCCTCAAACAACAGCATGCTCCCAATCCCAATCAATACACTGATTTCACCGACGACCTCTGCGTCCCCAGTGATGTTATAGCTGAGCTAGAATGGCTCTCGGACTTCGTCGACGACTCGTTGTGGTTCACGAACAACTTCCTCGACGAATCGTTCGCCGGAACTGTAAATCTGAGTCCTGAAACCTCATTTCAATCAAGCCCTGTATATGTCATCATGGTCTCCACTTCTTTTTCCTCTTCTCTTCTCCGATGCTCAGATTCTCCAACCCATACTTTTTCTTTTTCATTCTTTCCACACACTCATGTTCCCCACTCAACTTTCTTTTCCTTTTTTTTTTTTTATATTTATTTTACTCCATCTTTTGAAAAGAAAACGAAACACAAACTGGTTTGCACACCCATCATCTTACTTTTCCATTAGTGGTAGGACCCGCCCAAACAAATTTGAATCTCACCTTCATATAATTCTTCTTAGAATAATGCTTGAGACCACTAATTAGTGGTGACACTAATGATGTGACAGTAGTGTTGTTTTTCAATGGTGATTGATACCACTAATTTGGTACTACTAAACCACCACAAAAAAAAAAAAAAAAAAAAAAAAAAAAAAAAAAAAACAAAACAAAACTGCACACCAAACTCATTTTATTCATGTCGGGGCTCCCCCCGATCCACATTTTACACCACAACCACAAAAAAAAAAACAAAAAAACAAAAAACAAAAAAAAACAAAAAACAAAAAACCAACACCAACAACAACAAAGACCACCATCACAACAACAAAGGATTTTTCTTTTCCCTTTTCTACTCTGTCGCTGGTCTATTCTTCTTGCCTCCGTCCTGGGTGACCCTTGACGGTGCTGCCTCCGTGTTTCCCACGCCGCCAAGCACGTTGCCTCCCCGCTGCTCCTCAAACCCCACATATGGCGGCCCTTCAAATCGGAACATAACGGTGGCCTTCCGTTTCAGTTCCTTGTTTTCCGCCTTCAGCACACATATCTCTGCTCGCGCATCCTTATACATACGTTGGAGCATAGCCAGTTGGGCATTTAACTGCTGCACCTCATTTGTTCTACTCTGAAGTCGGTGCGGCAAGTTTGTAACCGCAATCATGGTCTCCACACATGACTTCAATGTATAATGATTGGCCTCAATATCCGATTGCGCTGCCATTATCTGCTCAACTGGCAACATCGGAAAGTTCAACGGCACAAAACCAGGGGAGCTTGGTCCAGGGGCGTTGGTTGAGGTTCAAGGGCAACCGCGCCGGTTATCTCTCTTGTGGATTCGTTGAGGTCCGAAAAGAGAGTGAGCGGACTACGGGAAGAAGAGGCCATGTTCTGGGTTGCTGAGTGTTTCAGAGAAGCAGCGATTTCAGACTGGTAATGTCAGAAAGGGTTGGTTGCAGAGTGTTTCAGAACGAAGATGTTCAGAGGTTTCAGACTAGTTTGGTTTGCACAGCCTCCGCCTCGGTTTATATAGACAATGACGAAGAGAACGACACAACGTTGTCGGTCACGTGCATCGCCGCGTGTCTGGTGCGACTTTTGATGGCTCGTTGCTCGACGATTTCTGTTGGGCACGACTTTTGATAAATTGGGCGCGCCTTTTGAGGACGCGACTTTTGAGGGCTTGATATATATATATTTGGGCAGCCGATGTACACAATCATACAGTGCATTCTACATCGGTCCGGCATGACCCCGTAAATTGTCCAGACATTGATTCCGTCGGCATGACCTCGTAAACTGTCCCGACATTGATTCCGGTTAGCTTATACATCGGTCCGGCATAACCTCGTAAACTGTCCCGACATTGATTCTAGTTAGCTTCTACATCGGTCCGGCATGACCTCGTAAACTGTCCTGCTACAATGGTCCAACACGACCATACAGTGTCTTCACCAACGGTCCGACACGACCATGCAGTGTCTACTATCCTCTTTTATTTATGTATTAGTTTATTTTCACGTTTTGTTCCTTTCCAAACTCAAGTTGGTTTGTACCTATCCTCCTTGAGTTTGAGGGGGGATGTTAGAGTATATAATATATTAGTAGATAGTAAGCCTCCCTTTCGGTGCTAGTGCTTCACTTTCCATCATGAGCTCAAACATGTATTGTCTGAAACCTTCTCCTATATAAAGGAGCCACTGAACAATTACATTACATCAAATTAATATCAATTGAATACATACAATTTATTCTTTCTGTATTTCTCTTTTTATACATTGAATTCTAATATTATATAACCTGGCACCTGCACTTCGAATGTTATTATGGTATGAGGAACCCTTATTCATCATGTTGAATAGTAGGTTCTCTTCCTGCTTGTAGTTGGCTGGTTAAAGTTTGTCTTGGTTTTCCAGATTTGAATTGTCAGACTGTTTTCTCTATTGATGCTTAACTTTCCTTCTTTGAATCCAGGTTTTTCAGCCCTGGATCCAACGGAGAAAACTTGCTTATGCAAAGCATAAGCACATAATATCAGGAATTTTAAGACATCTAAAGAAGAGTGCACTAGGAAGGCTCCTTGCGGACGATGGCACACCTAATAAAGAAGTTATTGATAAGTTAGTTTTCTTTATACTTCCCTTGGTGGGTTTTGATTGCAGACTTTCATGTTTTCTGACTCTTCAATGGATTTTGACAGGCTATTTAAGAAAATTGATGTGAGTGGTGACGGACAAATTTCAGCTACTGAAATGAGAGCTTTGATCATAGGAATCCAGTTTAATGATTTTAACGTGGATGTGGATGATGCTGTGGACAAAGTGATGAATGATTTTGATACGTCACTTGATTCTAAAAATGTTCCATCAGTTGAGTCTAAAATTGATCAGTTGGAGTTCTTCGTTGGAATCTCAAAATGGCTTAATGAAGCGAAGTGCACTGGGGCTTCTTCTGTTCAGGCCGGTCCTCACACAATAAATTATCTGGATAACTTTCACCAGGTATGTTGTGCCATTGTTGAATTTCTCTAGCACCCAACATTGCTAGGATCACAATTTCATGGTTATGCATTTACAGCAAACAAAGAAAGAACACGATGTTTTGGGGGATCATAGTGATGAAATAGTCGAGGGTGTTGAAAATCCAAAGTGGACCACTTTCAAAGCAGTGTTGTTGCTGCTTCTGGGAACCGTCATTGCAGCTGCATTTGCTGATCCATTGGTAGACGCTGTTGATAATTTCTCCGATGCGACAAGCATTCCATCTTTCTTCATCTCATTTATTGCGCTGCCTTTGGCTACCAACTCCAGTGAGTCAGTAACAGCAATTATCTTTTCTAGCAGAAAAAGGCAGAGATCTGCCTCGTTGACTTTCTCTGAGGTCTGTTTCCTCCTTGGATTTGTAGTCCATCAAGTATAAATTTGATATTTGTATCGGGAACAATCTTTTGCAACTTACTGATCTCTATAAGTTTCTTTGTTGCAGTTATATGGGGCTGCAACCATGAACAATCTCCTTTGCTTATCTGTCTTCTTAGCACTGGTTTACATCAGGGGATTGACATGGGACTTCTCAGCTGAAGTACTGGTTATCCTTATAGTTTGCATCATGATGGGTGTGTTTGGCAGCTTCCGCACTACATTCCCTCTTTGGACATCTTTCGTGGCTTTCCTCCTCTATCCGTTCTCCCTGGCACTGGTATACGTTCTTGACTATGTTCTTGGGTGGTCATAGATTCGCGGTGACAACTAAATAATTAATCATTATGTGTGCTTCCTTCTTTACTTATCGGATTTGTTTTTTTTTGGGTGATGAGTGTTTACATTTGAGTGAATATGCATCCGGATTAGTCATATTTGACTTTGAAAAATCATGGTAATTTTTCTATATATATATATAATATAATTATGATAATGTTGCTTTATATTCTTGTGGATCATATTATTATTCAAGTAGGAGTTCAGCTTATCTAGTTTTCTGTATGTGACTTTTGTGCTGTTATTCCAGATTATTGCACAGAGACAGTGAATTTTTACTCTCTTCTGGAATCTTAAAGGGTTATTTCCTAATTTGGTAGTGAAATTATGCAACCGCTTATGAACCAAACTTGGTTTTCTTAAATGTCAGCAAATTAAGAAATATCCCTTTGAAATTAGATTTTTTTAGGTGTTTTCAGCTATAGTCGTTCCAAAAAAAAAAAATCTGAGTAAAAGCATAAACAAATTAAAACAAAAGAAAAGAAACAAATAAAAAGAATCAGTATGAGTTGCACAAAAAAAAAAAAAAGGGAGGGGTCTGGTTTTGTTTATTTTTTGATTGGAGGGGTTAGTTGAATATAAAAGTATCTTCCTCACACTAATTAAATGTTTGCTATATTTTAATTTAAAAATTAATTTTTTAATTCGAACATGATTGTCCAAGCCGAAAGCATGCAATACTAATTAAATTATTAAAATTATATTTGTTAACATTTTTTTTTGAATAAAATCATCAACAATATTAAAATAAATAATTTATATGATAAGAGAGAAACATAAAAATTGAGAATGGTTATGCTGCTATTGAATGAATAAAATGTAGACGTCTAAATTATTTTAATATTATTCAACAATTAATATTTAATATTTTTATATAATCATCTATACAATTTAGATCTCGATTGACCGAGTCCTATGTTTGTTCAAACTCACACTAAGGCTTCATTTAGAAAGTAGGTTGATTTTTTTAATTTTTTGATTTTTTTAACTATTTTAATTTGGAGCTAAAAAGCCTCGTTTGGAAAGAATTGTTGACATTTTTAGTTTTTTTGTGAGAAAAAAAATATAATAATTATGAATTAAATATGATATTTTGTCTTATTAAACTAAAAAATTTATTTTATTTTTTGTGATTATTTTAGCCAAAAAAAAGTTCAAAAGTCGGTTTTCCAAACGAAGCCTAAATTTAAAAAATATATTACTGAAATCCCAAAAATTGCAGCCCTATCACAAACTAACCAACCAGGGGCATCTTTCCCATCCAAGTGGACCATATCTGTCATCATTCTAGAATAATAATGAAGGTGAGATTTCCAGACCCCACAAAAACATGACAGACAAATTTATAATCAGATTCCCATAATCCCACATGCAAAAGTTTGTAACCAATCAAAGGTTGTCTGACTCAGTCTATCTACCAACCTAACAAATGAAACAAGAAAAACCCATTCAACCCAACTTCTCAAATTCCCTAACCAAACTTCCCAATGCATCAAAATTGTAACTCCCAAAACAAAACCAAGTCCAAGGCCACATCTCTCTCTATCCACCCTCTCACATGGCCAAAAATTGTTGTATCTTTCATGCTCAACCTTACATTACTCAATATGCAGATTCATATCTACTTTACCCATCAACTCTCAGATGAAAATTTGATCCTAACATGTTTGACAGAAACGACTAACTCGACTCAATCATTAGGCCACATACCTGTTGCCTAAGTCGTACAAAGAAAATCTCAGAACTTTTTATTGCCGAAAGCTCAATTTTTTTTAAGGCTTAATATATAAAATAAGGCTTCATTTTAATGTTTAATCTGAACTCAAAAAAATCTTGGGCCGTGCTGGCTTTAGCCGTTCTGAGAGGAATACAACTTGGCTTGCCAAAACATCATAGGAAATGGGCTATAAAAACCTTCTATAACTTGAGATTTAGGTCAACATTTTCTCCTACTTCACCACTGCAGCTGCCAACAGTGGTGGTTGCTTGGCTAATTTGTGCCTTTGCCGATGGAAAGAAGCTGTAGAAAGGAGGCTGCTGTTGGGTAGATCCACTAGGCCCTGGCCGGTGAATTGGGTTTCTGACACATCCCTGAAAATTTAGTGCAAGCGAAAACTATTAAATGATACCACTGGAATGAAACCAGGAATCATAAAAATGGATGATTGGCTTTTTATGAAACCAGGAATCATAAAAATGGATAATTGGCTTTTTTTTATGCCGACTTTAAAATTCATTTTGCTCTTAAATCACATATAAAAAACCTATGAAACTTTTCAGAAATGATCTATTAGGAATCTAGTCTCATACCCCATTGGTTTGGATAAAACAAGTTTAAGTAAAACTCCAAATTTCATAAAAATAGTGACAGTGGGTCAGAATCTGTCTGAGTTTGGGAAAAAAAAAGAGATATCTCTCTAATTTTAATTCAAATAGAGCTCATTTTATGTCACAATTCAGTTGACACATAGGACTACATATTGTAAAAATTCCCCAGCAGTTCACAAAAAACTCACTTGAAATGTCAGAGTTTCAAATTCTGGTAATTCTTGGACATGTTGGGTCAGATACACAGAAGGGTGCTTGTACTTTGAACTAGGATGTGGAAGCAGAGCTGTTGTAGGAGGGGCCAATGTGAGAAAATCTCCATTCAAATCCCCATTTTCTTTTGAAACTTTCTTTGGATTCAGCTCAGCCAAGACAGTTGAGCTCCAAGGGCATTCTCTGAAGAGGGTAATAATACAATGTATACATACAAGAATTACAGACTATAACTGCAAAATATAATAATGGTCTAATCATCAAAAGAAACCTGACCTGAAAATTGGGTTGATGGGTTCAACATTAACTGTGCTTCCATTGACACAAGAAACATATTGATCATTGAATCTGGTAATGGGAGGAAAATAAGTAGCAGGAAATTTGCAGGGGAAAGAGGGCCCTGGTGGATTGTCCAGAGAGAAGGGATATGGCCTCTTCATGCCAACCATCTACATTAACATTATAAATAAAGAAATAACTTTACATTAAAATATAGATGAAACAAATTCCACTAAAGAAAAGAAATAAACTGAAATATGTGAGAGCTCCAACATGAGGATAAAAAAATGTATGTGCAATTTAGTTCTCATTGGATGGGAACCTAACTTTTGGCATAATTTGTATAAAGTGATTGTCCTTCAAAATCTCGAGGATAGTAAACGTAGTTTAAACCTCAACATTGGAATAATTTCAGTTATTTTCATTCAAGAGAAAAAATAAAAAGTGAAACATACTGAAAAACCAATATGTAAGAGCCACATCTTCCAATGTCTTCCAGTCTTGGTTTTAATTCAAAAACATGGACTTGCTTTTGATTAGAAAAACCAAATCTACAAAGCTCTGTCCAAGAATACAGAATCTGATCATAAAAAATAAACAGAACCTGTTCAACTGAATCTCAACCAAGTGAAGAAACAAATACCATTAAATCTGAGAGGAGATAAGAAACAAGCTGAGAAAACTAAAAGCAAGTTGAGCAATACCTTCTCCTCCTCTGGCCACATAGGTGGTATGTAATTGTTGCCATAAAAGCTTTGGTTTGAAGGGGGCTCCATCTGATGATAACTCATTACAGATAGTGATGAAGTCTCTGATGAGACATTCACCTACAATTTTCAAACATTCAAATCTTCCTCAAATTCACAACAACAATTACAAGTCAAATTCCAAATCATCAAAACGCATTAACAATACATTGACAATAAATTTTCCCATTTTTTATAGTGTCAATTTAATCCAATTGATAAATCAGAAATTGGACATAAATAAATGACAAAAATGGTCCATTTAAAGGCAGAGTGGACAGTTTCAAATTGGAAGCCAATCTCTCAATCCCTTTGAGGAGAGTGAATAAACTATTTCGCCTCTTGATCTCACTCCAATTTCTAAAAGAGCTTTATTAATTGGACTACAATGACCAAATTAACACGAGGCAAATAACATGAATAACAGTGTAATTTGCTTTGAAAAAAACATGAACTAACTAACCATTGATGAAGAAGGTTGCTGCTGAAATTGCTGTGTCCTTTGCATCACATTTTGGGGAGGACAAATGGGGTTAGATTCATAGGGTAAATTCAAATTTGACATAAATGCAAATCTATGGTGATTCTCTCCTTCAAGATTGCAATCACCATTCCACAACTTAGGCCAATTACCCTCCCCTGGACCCGGAATCGTCGGCCACCCCATCATCTCCCCTCCACTCCCATTTGATGAAGGTTTTGAGAATGGAACAGAATTTGGATGCAGAACATCTATGCTAGGGATTGAAGAGTTGGGTCTAAAAATCGAATTCGGCGAAGCGAGATCAGATGGCGATGGGGGAGGCAAAGGGATCAAAGAGGGTGATGGGTTATGCCTAAAATTGGTAGCACATTGAACTGCTTGTATAGTAGCATCTTTCTTTTGTTGTTCCTCCAATCTGATCTTCTCAAGCTGGGCAACACCTAGTCCTCTTTGTGGGACTTTTTTTTGCTTCAATTTTTTTGAAGATCTACAACTGCTACCACCACCATTACTACCACCACTGCCACCACCACCACCACCTCCGCAGCCACCGCCACTGCTACTGTTGCTACACCTCTGGGTATGTTCTTCTTGAGCCATTCCTGGTCTCTGCTATCTACTTACAGACAATTAATCAAATGGGTTGCGTACAGAAACTGATCATCCAACAAATCAGCATAATTTTGGGATACCCAAAATCTAAAGACAGAAAATATGAGGGTTTTGGTGGGGAAGGAGAAGCCAGAAGCAAAATCTAGAGGGATCAAGAGAACCCAAGTCAAGAGGAACCCCCATCGCCATCTGTAGATTACACAAAATCTCGCAGGTCATGGAGTCAAGATCGGCAAGTTATGTGGAAACAAGAGAAGGCCCACCATAATTCAGCAAAGATTGTGTACATACATACATATATATATATATATAGAGGGTGATCTGTGAGCATCGGATTTTTCTCAAACCCAGTTGTTTGTTTGTCGGAGAGATGGATCAGATGAATAAAAATACGAAGAAAACAAAACCCATTGCTCAAAATTCAAACTTGAATTCCAAATCTAAAACAACTATTTGAAAACTTTCCTGAATCTAGTTTCTCGCCCAAATCCTCGCTCCACTCCTTCTTTCCTTCCTAGTCCGACTCTCAAGAACTCTCTCTCTCTCTCTCTCTCTCTCTGAACACACATTAGGCCTTGGTCACCTCCACAACCACAAAGGCCACAGATACAGAGCACTCTCTCTATCTCTATATAAATACTGTGAGTGTGTGTGTGTGTTTTGGAGGACTATCTATAAAATTGAGGAAAGAGGCAGCATTGCCATGGTTGGTCATCTTTGCCTGTTTGTTGGGCATTTAAGGGCATCTCTCTCTCTCTCTCTCTCTCTCTCTCTCTGTGGTTTGTTTTGCAGCTTTTAGGACCCAATTGTGGAGCCCTCTGATGGTTACTGTATTCTGTTGCATGTAATTCTATGGTTTGAGCAATCTTACTCCAAAATATTTAGTAATTAATTTTAAATTATTTTATATATGATTTTTTTTTATTCGGCTCATGATTAAAAATTTAGAAAAAATTTTAGTTGAATAGTAAAAAAATAATTATATTTTTATGGTGTTAATATATATATATATTTTAAAATTATCTTACTTATTTATAATTCTTTAATTTTGTTAAGGAAAAGTTTGAACCATGTTTAGGCTTCGTTTGGGAAGCCATGGTTTGGGTTTTTTTGGCTATTTTAACCACAAAAAATAAAATAAACTATTTTAGTCATAACAAACAAAACATCACATCCAACCCATAATCATTACATTCTTTTCTTATAAAAAAACTCAAAAAAGTCAAAAAGTCAAAAAGCCCTTCCCAAACCAAGCTTTTAAGCCCAGACTAAAATAGTCAAAAAAGTCAAAAAGCCAAAAAGTCAACCCACTTCCCAAACGGAGGTTTAGTTGTCCGAGAAAGGGATATTTTGAGAAGTTGCAGCTTTAGCCAAAATTCGGTATAATAAAGTCAATTATTATTTTTATATATTTTGACATGGCTTTTCATAAATGTTTAAAAGTTTTTAAAAAAATTAATTCTCAAAATGACTCTAAATTATTTAAGATTATAAGTGAATTATTTATGCAATAGTATTAAATTAAAGATGTGAGATATCTATGTTTGTTTTATGCATCTGGATGATGGTTTTAGTTGGTACAAATTAAATTTATGAAATTAGGTAAAAATTATAATCATATAAATGGTGATTTTATTAATTTTGTAAAACGTGAATAAACCCAATCTTGTAGTATTGGATTGTGAATCTCTACTCATTTATGAGTATGCTAATCCCATATTTTGGTATTAAAAATACCGTAGAATTCTTAGTCCAATGTATTTTACCAATCAAGCATGATTGCGTGAATGAGATCCAATAAATTGCTAATCCAATCTCATCATTTTTGAAATCACGTAAACATAATCTAAAGAGTGTTATTAGTAATACTGCTATTCTTTTATAAAGGGTGGTGGCACATGTTAAGGTGCGGTCAAATTTAATTATGACTCATAATAATATTTAATAATATAAAATAAAGCTAGTTGGTTATGAAATGAATTGATAGTTTAATTATTACTTATAATCATATTAGTTATGAGATAATTAAATTGCGGGGAGTGATTATAATCATTCACCTAAAGTAATCTTGATTATAAGACAAAATCATGTAAAATTAATTATTTTATAACCAATTTCACCTTAAGTTATAACTAAATACACAACCTTATTTGTTTATTTTTTTAAGAAGCTGTACAATAAAACTAATCATCTATAATTAATTAGCATCTGTTTCATATGTAAATGTGATGGTAGGATAATCTCTTAGTAAGATGTGTATTTGCCTTCATGCATGCCCCAAGTTTCATTTTACTAAATAAAGGTAACAAATTGTCCATTTCATTGACCTATTTTTTATTACTCTAACCACCTGCGAAAGCTCCAAACTATGCCAACCAAACCAATGTATAAAAAAAAAAATAATAATAAATTACAATAATGAATTAGATACAGGAAAAGTCTATATGAAAATTTTTCATTTTTGGATTAGTTGTATTGTTTTATTGTATATTATACAATCACTTTTAACTTAATTTCATAATATTTATTTCATGATATGTAACATTACTCAAAAAAAATAAAGGGATCACTTTTCCCTTTATTCATTAAATTGTTGATAAGAAAAGTTTTAGGTCTCGTTTGTTTTCAGAGATAGAATGAAGGGGATTCATAGTGAGAGGATTAATAGTGATGAATTGTTAAATTATTTTTACATAAAATAATAAAACAAATAAAAAAATATAAAAAATTAAACATTAATATTTAAAAAAAAAAAATTTCCAATATATAAAAAATAAAAAAATAAAAAAATTTCTAATCCCCTCACTATTTTTCTAATATCATCTCTATCTCCTCCTTACCAACCCCCCTTCCAAGGGGACTACTAATACTAAGGATTAATAGTTCCTGTCCCATCTCTCAAAACAAACGCCCCATTAGTAATACTAAGGGATTAGTAATCTCAATTCCCTTTCTATAACTCCAAACAAATGGAACCTTGGATCAAATGAACAAAGACAATTGAGAATTCCAATGGATTGACCCGATGATCAAAACTTAAGATTTAAGGGTATGTTTTCTCTAAAATTTTATATTCAAAATCTCTTAAACACAAATAATTTTATAAGATAATTCATACGGAATTCTGTTCTCAGAAAATGAAATTAAAGTTTATTGAGAGACCGAAGGGTGACTGCAAAAGTCATCAAAATCTTCCATTATGTTGTGGCATTGGATTTACCTTTCTAAATGGGACCCACCTTTGCCACAACAAACCATCTCTAACTTTTTTTTGTAAACTAAAACAGACTTGTCTTCAAGAGGGCTTATAGCCACACTCTATTCATATGAGGAGGACAATGGAGCCAGCCTCCTCCAATGACACCAACAGTTTTATCATTTTTAAGATGTCAAAATTTTCTTTTACATAAAAAAAACAAAGATATGAAAGCCACCATCTAAATCTAAGTATATATCTATTCATAAGATTCTCTTTTACATAATTTCGTTTACTTCGTTTATTTATTCTGTTTCTAGCTTTGTTTGTCTGCATAACCTCTTTGGATTTCTTATAACCATTTGATCTTCATTAGATGGTTACTGAGGGGGAGATTTATGACCTGGTTTGAGCCGAGCTGGTTTGGGTCTCGATTAAAGTCTTTGCCCGAACAAAGTGAGCCCCATGATCGACCAGGGTTTTTGCCCGATTAAGTTAGGGATAGGGTCGCTAGCCTAGTCAAGAGATGTGTGTTTCACTAAGTTGGATAGGATTTGTCCTCAGAAGACCAGGCTTGTCCGAGTAGGAGCTTGTGGTGGGTTGTAGAGCTTGGTTGAGCCCACGCTCGCGTTTGTCCGTCAGGACCGAGTAGTTAGTGCGGTCCTGAGGGAAAGTTATGGCGCCGTGCTAGGCACAGCTCAACGAGAAAAGCTACGTGGCGTGATTGGATTGCGCGAAGGAGATTCCGCCGTCTGTACACGTCAATACCGTTAGGCAATTTCGCCATTTCATGTTTAGCAGTATTTACGCTTATACATGGAAGATGGTAAAAAGGGAACATATCCGCGCATCAGGAGGAGGATAGATAGAGAGGAACGTGCATAAACTATATAAACGGTGTTGCGCCTCCACGCACAGGTCTAGAACATCTAGTTATCAGAGCTACCTACTCCTTTGTCTCTCTCTCTCTCTCTCTCTCTCATTTCTTCTCTCTAAGTGTGCTAACTTGACCGTCGGAGGGGTTTCTGGTAGCACATTGCTGGGTAGCTTACCGTCTTTGTGTTTTCAGGTCACTCGGAAAGAAGCGAAGCTTGGACACGAGGAGTATGGAAGGCGACGAATATTTGCTTCCCGTACAATTGGCGCTGTCTGTGGAATCTTTGACAGACAAAACCTTCTCCTCCAAGCTTTTCCAACCATCTTTCATGGTGAACAATGATGACATTCCACTGTCCGTCATTGACGGCATCACTTTGGAATCTGTTGGAAAAGAAATGGCCCTTTCGCTATCCCGACCATGCCGGGCCTGGAGACTTCCTCTCAAGGGCTCCCCAGAGACGTACGAGACAAACGCACGAGGAGCACCGATCATTCACGAAGTCCTGAAGGACGCCGGTGACGATGAGATTCGCACGGTTAGCGCCTGGAGCACAAACTGAAGGACCAAGACGCCATCATTCGTAGGATGACAGCTGAGATGGAGGTGTCGAAGCGGCAAGTCAAGGGGAAGGGTGTTGCTGAAGTGAGAAACCACAGTGAGCGCACCCAACCCCATCGCTCAGGCAGCCAGAACCAAAGACGGGTGCCCTCCCTCTCTATCATCAGAAGCTACAGGGTTGGTGATTCTGATTTGCCAGTAGAGAAGTCTTGCACACGAGATAGTAGCTACCATTCCTTACGTCTGTTGATGATGTTGAGATATTCTTACTCCGCTCATTTGGAGGGCTTGAGGGACATTTTGGAAGAACGAGCACGCCGGCGGGAGGCATAAAGCATGTTGATATTACATGGACTATCCTACAGAGGTTGTATTAGTGAAGAATCTGTAATGTCGCTGCCACGCCTAACTGCACACGTGTCATTGGATAGGGACTTGGCAAGGCTGAGCGCCACCCCTTTCTTCCTTGAGATAGAAACCACACCACTCTCTGTGGGCTTCTATCAGCCCAAGTTTACACTCTATGACGGAAAAACCAATTCGTACATATATGTGAGCCACTTCCGGCAGGTTATGGTTGGCTACAGGCAAAACGACGCACTTATGTGCCTTATTTTCCCCTCAGGTTTGGGTGAGTTGGGCCTGAAATGGTTCGAGAGGCTACCGGAGGAAAGTATCAAAAGGTAGCTGCAGCTGGTGGAGGCGTTCGTGACCCAATTCAAAACCAACACCAAAATGCCCAAAGAGGTCAACCACTTTCTGAGCGTCAAGATGGAAACTCACTAAAGGCGTACAACGCCAAGTATTGGGAAACCTTCAATGAAATTCTTGATTGCTCGACCACCTTGACAATCACCCAATATAAGTGTAGTCTCCCAGTCGGACATAGACTGCGAGACTCGCTCGCCATGAGTCAGCCAACAACCATGGAGCAACTAATGCAACGTATCAACGAGCACATCCGAGTTGAGGATGATGCAACCGCGGTTACCGTGAAGGCGAATCCGATAGCGGCGGACAAAAGGGTAGTCGAAATGGTTCACACGGTAGGACAAGAGGCAAACCGTCCGCACAACCTCGAAAGAGAACAAGGCCGCGACGATAATCATAATAATCGGGGTAAGGGTCGTCGTAACGACCGAGTTGATTAG